GAAAAGAAAAAAAAAAAAAGAAAAAACGAAGCGGAAAACGTCCCGGATTTTTGTAAAAGTCCCCTCCCGTTATCTTTTCTGTTGTTGTTGTTGTTGTTATCCCCAGTCCGTCGATGTGAACAAGAGGAGAAGGGAGAGAAATGTGAAGATGAGAGGAGGTGGAACAATGAATTTATAGCGGAATGCCATCCTGCAATGGCAATTTCAACAATTCGTCACTGCAGGCTGCCTCTTAAAGGGAGAGCTTCAAAACCACCACTCCCACACTTCCTTCTCATTTAATCAGACAGAGAGAAACTTGAAGGGAGGGAGAAAGAGAGGGAGGGGGGGCTGAGGGGGGTGGAGAAACGGAGAGAGGGAGCGAGGCAGAGGGAGGCAGGAGGGAGAAAGAGAGGGAGGAAGGAGGGGAGAGAGACCGGCAGAAAGTGTTTGTGCATGAGAAACACAAGATTTCCTTTGAATCGCTTAAAGCCGCAGTGTCACCCGGTGCGCGCCGGGTCACCGGCGGCCGGGGACGGCCGAGCCGCGCTTACCTCAGCCCTGCCAAGCGCCCGCTCTCTCCTGCCCGCCGCCGCCGCTGCTCCTTTTGCAGTTTTCGGCGGGAGAGGCGGCTTTTGTGCCCTCGCTGCCGCAGCGAGGAAGCGGCCGGGGCTTCCCCCCGCGCCGGAGCAGCACCGTGCCCTGCGGCGGTCACCCCGTCGGGACGGGCTGCACTTTTCTTCACTTCCTCCCCCAAATGCCCATGAGGAGGGAGGGCGGGGAAGAGTTAACGCTTGCTTCGACCCCCCCTCCTCTCCCTCCTCCTCCCGAGCGGCTTCACATGCGGAGACCTTCCCCCCCCTCGCCGCGTCCCGACCCGTGCTCCGTCCCCTCGTCCTCTGCGGGCTCAGCAAGGGCACCACGAAGGGCTGATCCACCACCCGCCCCATGTCCCTGCCCGCGGTGCGCAGAGGGGATCTGCCGCTCCGGGCCCGGGGGCACCACGGCACCCCAGGGAGTCCCCTCCCAGGGGGACCCAACGTTGGTGCAGCCCAGGTGCCTCTTCTCACACTGAGCCAAACTCTGGAGCTCGGAAGCAAAAAGTGCTGCGGCATTCCGTGTGTTTTCCAGGCGCCCTTCAGTTCCCCTCGGGCAGGTGCTTTTTGCTTGGGAAAGGACGTGCAGTGCAGTCTTCACCCCAGCCTGGGAACAGCATCACGGCCCCACTGTGCTCTCCGAGGGATTTACACGCACACCTGCGATGTGACTGTTGGTCCGGCCGTTACACCGCGCTACGCAAAGGTGACCTGTTACCGCTCAACTTCCAGAGGCAGCCTCGAGAGCCCAACAGTTCTGTAATGAACAGGTTAACTAATGCCACGCTCTTTTCCAAAAATTAATATTGCCAGGTAAATGATTATATTAGCATCTGCCCACTCTTAAATTAGATCAGCCTGAGGTTATAGTGTGGAAGATTTAATGCACCAAACTTTCACAGGTGTTCTTTTTTTTTTTTTCCATTTTTCCGGAAACTGTGATACCTGCAAGTGAAAGTTCAGTTCTCAAAGTCCCAATACTTCTTTTTTCTACTTTTCAGTATTTTACTATCACCAAAAGTTATTGACTGAAGACAGTAAATTTCAAAATTAAGAGTCCTATATCAGAAAAGCCACCCTGGTACTGTGTTCCAGGACTACTCAACATTTTTCAAATGTGCACATTTTCCCCGTTATTTTTAACTACTTATATAAAAAAAAGAAGAAAGTGAGAGAAGAATAAGGCATATTTTCATGAAAGAAAGATTTTTTTCCCCCACTTTTTCTAGAACAGCTTTTACTTCTCAGCTGAGCCAAGTGGACATCTATTCATCACCAAAAAGCTCTTTATTGACTTCAATGAGGCCTGACCAGGCCCATAGATTCACATGCATGTCTGGGTCTAAACTCTCAGATACCTCTGGGAGATGTGCTAAAGATGAGATCTGGGAAAAGGAATGCAGCTTGGATAACAAGCTCAGAAACTCCCATTAAAAAAAAAAAAAAGTTGTTAGTTTGTCCTTGAAGAGGAATATGGCACACAAGAGGCCAGTGTAATGTTCTCCCCATGCTATAGCATCATTCCAACCATCCAGCACGGGAAAAAGAAAAATATGAAAAGCGATTGCAGTTATTAAATGATGGTTCTCGCTGCTTGTCTAATTTGTTGTCTTTGGTTTCCCAGCAGGAAAAGTTGGATAAGCTTCCACAATGCCCTGTTTCACCACACAAGGATCTAGGTTTTCCAGGAAGGTACAAATTGTCCTGCATAGACTTCCCTATAGATTGTGAAGTCTTTCCTATTTATGTTTCAAAGCTACAATAACTTGGTAGTGTAATAATGGAAAGATAGGTCAATTATGTTTCTATTCTGAGAATCTTGAAGCTGAAAGATAAACCACTTTTAAGTCATTTTCTTTTTTCCTCCCACTTTTGCCCTCTTAGCCCCTTTTTACAGTTACAGCATTCCCTTTAAACAGGAAAGCCTGTTAGCATGTCCCAAGTTGTGGATGGCACTAAATCCTTGTCAAACAGTTCTGACCTGGAAATCACAGAGCTGACCTTTCCCGACTGAAAGATGCAGAGCCACAAATCCTCGATTACCTTTAAGGCACAACATAGGTTTTGTACACTTTATGCCAAATTCAATCCTGATGTAAAAAGACCCAGGCCTCTTGAGTCTAATGGAGCTGCAAGCTGCTTTCATTAAGGCTATATTTCTCCCTTTGTATTTATCCATGAAAAGATTTAGGATCCTCCAAGTAACAGCCTTGATAGCCAGTGATTCCCGAAAAGATAGTGTTTTAGCCACGTGAGATATTTTTTCTGAGGAGCATTGTGAACCCACTTGTGAACAAGAGGGCAGTGAAATGGTGACCTGTTAATCATTTTGTTAACAGTTAAAGCTGTTAATCATTTTGACCTTATCTCCCTCAAATTGCCTTAGGGAAGGGTCCTGTCTGATGTTGCCCCTTTTTTGATTCTCAGTCATATCACTAGGAATGGAGAACCGTGAATTTAAGGTATCAACAGGTGCTGTATTTGTCTACATCCTGATAGTTAATCCATGCCTAATACGGAATTCCTATGCAACACATTCAGTCTTTCACCATGTGCTTAACTCTTCTGTCTTGAAGATTACTTTCTGTTTAGGCTTTGCTATTCTAGTTTTTAAGAATGTCTGACATTTCCATGTAATTGCACAGGGGAGATATGGATTATTAGGGGAGATATTAGTTTATTATTTATTATTTATTTATTATTATTATTATTTATATTATTATTTATTTAAAACTGTAGAGCCAAGAAGATGAAATCAAACCCAAGAATATAGCCTGTTTGGTATATTTATGTAGCTATACTGAAGTAATATCAAATACACAACATTTGATAAGACTGTGATCAACGAAGGCCTTTTTTTCTGGGAATGGGACCCAGGTTTTGATAAGTCCCAATCTGAGCATCTACCTGTAGCAACATACTTCATAATATGGGACAGCTTTGTCTCTGTTGAGAATCAGGCTAACATTATGGGACATTTTTAATGAGCATATCAGCAGGAGCAAGCTCATTTGTCACAGGAGGGTTTTGAAATCTTTATCAGATACACAGTGATGTTTTTTCAGCTTTTAAAATTCACTGTGGGTTCAATTCATTGATCTTGTCAGCAGTTTTAATGGTCCAAACATTATGATTATAATGTTTGAGTCTACCAGTTTTAAAGGCTTCCTATGATGATGAATTAAAACCACTGAAGACATTTATTTCTAAAGTGCTCGTTATTAAATAAAATACTCATCATAAGACATTTTGCAGATAACTTTTAAAGATGAATGCTTTTGCTCAGTGTTTTGGAAAGGACTTAGACACATTGGCATTTGGAATAAACTGTATAGCCTCTGACCCCTACCCGAGGACAGCGACTTTGTCAACAGTAGTGTCTCATTAGGACAGTGTCTCTAAGTGGCTTAAATGCTCTTGAAAACAAATTCAGATAGAGATGAGCCTGATAATAGTTCTGAGTGACTCTAACTCTTGCTTACTGATACTGAAATAGGTTTGTGGTTGATAAACAAGCCAACATCACCGTTGTGCACGTACGCTTCCCGCCACTCTTACAGATACTCCGGGAACTGACTGCTTCTGGAGCCCGGCCTGGATGCCCCATCCTCTTTGTGGTGCTTGTGGGGAAGGCAGTAGCGGGAAGCCTGCTGTGGCTGCACACGCTCATTTCTGGACCCTATAGGGCTGGCATTTCTAATGATTCAAGTCCAAGATTATCGCAGGCCCTAAATTATTTATATAAGGGTCAATCAGTGCCTACTTTAGAAAACTCAAACAATTAAAAGACATTTTTCCAGTGAAAAGACACAGACCGGTGTTCCTCAGTGTGTAAGCTCCTGAATAGCATAAGGGAGGCTGTACCTTGTGCCGCTGAGAAGCCACTGTCACATATGGCCACTAGCTGCAGTTGACGTAATTGGCTAGTTTTAGAGTACAAGTGCCTTCAGTTATAATAAAATCATGAGCTTAAAATAGTTGTGTCTTAGTAAGAAATGTCTATTTGGTGTAAAGCACTGCAGCTTTAAGGCCAAATGTTTTACTTGCTTCTTTATGGTCAATGACATCTTCTTCAACTACAGCCATGTGGGGAGCGAAGGAGACGCCTTTGGCTTGGGGTTTATGTTTTTATAAGTGGCACGTGTAAGTAATGTATCAAGTATATAACAGTTCTAGCAGACTGAAAATTTGATGTTTGACATCAACTTCATTTTTCTATAAGGAAGCTAAGGAAGCTGCCTTAAGGGGTATTGCTTTAAAGTTGGGTTGGGCACAGTTTAAATAACACAAGAAAAATGTGAAATTTTGGTTACTGTATCAAATTAAAATAGGAAACTTCCTGCGGCCGGGCTAGAAATCAAATTGTTAGGGTATCTGCTTATGGGGAAAGGGAAAAAACATGAGATTTCCGTAAGATTAATCATACATAAAAATATATCCCATAATAGAAAAGCATCACTTGCCTTCATAGCAGGATCCAGAAGAGGGGTTTGTTCACAGTTAGAAAGAAGCTATGATATTGTCCTGTCAGGAGAAAACAAAGGCATGAATGATAAATTGTATTTCCTAGGTGTTGACCTAGAGAATGGAAAAGAAGGGGATCTATCTCTTTCCTACAACTGATGCAAGAAATGAACTCACATAAACCATAACACACATGAATAATTGTGACCACTGAACCTACTATGAATTCTGTTTAAAACACATGTTGGGTGGAGGCCGTGTTCTGCAGGAAGTATCAGGTGTTGTTATAGTAAGTATCAAACCGTCATCTCTTTTTTTTTTCTTTTTTTTTTCCTGAACAGCAGCAAGATAATCAGAGGAAGGGCAAAATGTTAAACTTTCCTTTAAAAAAAATGACACTTGTTATAAAAATACATTTTAGGAGTAAAAGATATGCACATGATGTATTCTGCAGCTGTTCTTCCAGAAGACTAGAAGGTCTGAAAAACTCTGGAGTCTAGTTTGTATGAGGAGCAGCAGACATTTAATTAATCTCAGCCGTAGGATTTTACAGCCAGTATGTGGTCTCTGAACATCTCTGCTCTAGTTAGCAGAACATCTGTAGCAGGAAAGCAGAACTTATGTAAATCCAAGTGTGCTTGTACCCCTCCAAAGTTTACCCCTTTTTATCATTATTTCTTTAAATATTTTCTCAAAGATTTGTATATTCAGCTTCTCCCTGTCCTCCCTGCTCTGTTTAGGAAGCTACTCGTTCATTCTGTGATGTGGCTTAAAATTTCTGTTGAGCCATGTCTAAGCAAAAGCTAGTTCAATACTGATTTAGTAACCAAATATCCAAATCTTGTTGGTTCTTTTCTGCACAAAGGCTGGATATATATTCTTCCATATAT